GAGAAACACAGTGTTGCTTGTATCAAACAACTGTTTACTTAGTGGAAGTACAAGCTTAATTTACTGGTAAGGTATGCATTCCATGTCAACCACTTCAAAGAGGCACATAAAACCACCTGAGTAGATGTTTGCTTAGTAGGTGGATAAAGAGCTTGGGCAAACTATCACATATGACACACCCCCGTGAGGGCAGCATTTATCTTCTGGATGCAATGTTCTGTCACTTCATATCGAAGTAATGATTTGTCTACAAGTTGGAAGTTGAAGCCTACCTAAAACCCTCCTTCAGGCCATGTAAAGGAAAGGTATAGAGCAGTACCCTCAAGGATCTCGCAATGCTAGCACTGCATATTTTCCTCCTTCTGCATATATGACCTATGCCTGGGCACCTGTCTAATTCTGAAATACAAAATCTCACTTTAACATACTTGACAGAAAAGTTGTAGCTGTTCCTAAACAATATGGTTCTTAGGCAAAGACAATATATTCACTTGAACTTCAAACTGTTTTCTGATATTAACCCACAAGTTATTTCATATTGACTCTTTTTCATTTAAAAAAAAGGCTACGCCCAAAAATTTAAAAATATTAAAGGATTCTCTGGTACTAGGCTAGATGAAAAGGGAATGCAAAAGTTTGAGTCATCTTGAATCCAATCAACTTTTCACCCTGGTTTCTGTTTACAGATTCTGCAGCTCACATTGTTGGAATGAGACAAATATAGCCAGTTTTGCTTTGATCTGTGGTCAGCTTGGCTTTCCAATTCTGGCACAATGGTGACATTTAAGACGCAAAGGGATAAAACTATTTTCATTCCAGTCTTTTCAACATGATAAAGACTTATAAAACAGCTCAGGCCGAAGATGAATTCGGATCTAAAGAGGCCATACTTTTTTTTTTTTTTTTAAAAAAAGTCCTGCTTACCCTGCTATTTGCAGAAGTATAAATAGTTAAGATGGTGAACACATCCATTCCCTTCCATCATCCTGCTTATTAAGACAAAGACTGATTGAATGGCACGTGGAGAATAACGTGGGAGGGAAAACTGCTACAAGGTACAACCCAAACTAGGGTGACATTGGTTTTGCAAAGAAGTCTTTGTCACTTTCCCGAAAAGATTATAATACCTTCAAAAACAATTAGTCAAGCATCCACAAACAAAAAGAACCTTTGTCTGTGTATCTATTTACTCATCACTCAGCAGGCAGCTGAATCTCACCAGTTCTTCCTGTCTCACCTACAAGCTCGGTCTCCTAATTTGGCAGTTTAGACCTATTTGAAGAGGTACTGGAATTGAGGGCAAGCCTATTAATTAACCTTATCTATTTCAGACTCAAAGGTCACCTTTCTCTACTTCAGCCCCACCTTCCAGTTCTCCCACTCTCAGAGGAAAGTAAGAGAAGAGAGGGAGAGTAACAGCATGTGAAGGGATATTAAGTGGCAGAGCCCCGGACTGTGACAGCGCCTCACAGACACAGACCTATAGATGCAAGCTTGTGTGCACAATCAGCACAAGTTCGGATCTACGGGTTTGTGGCAACAGGCCTCAGTATCTTCTCTCCTGTGGGGATTTGACATGTCTGAAAATAAAATGTTAAAGCCATTAGTCCAACAAAAGATTCTGTCATCCAATTGCTTTAGGCCAGAAATGGCAAGGATTTTATTTTGCTCTCTAAAGGGCAAAAGTTAAGTAAAATCTATTCTTTTCCACATACCTCCCATAATCTCCACTCATCAGTGGGTTTTAGACAAAATTCAGCATTTTACTACATAATATGTGGAATCCTCAAATTTTCCATTCTTAACACATGATCAGAGCAGAGTAATTTTAATGTGGCAAAAAAAAAAATCAGCAGAATTTTTTTAAGTGCTTCAAATTATAAGCAGAGAAGGGAAAGAGCATGGAGACCCAAGTGCAAATTCTTATTCTTTTAAATACCTGTGATTCCATGAAAAAGGACGAAGAAATTTTGCTTTCCCATTTGCATTCTTGAAAACTGGAATAAACCAGCAAGCACTATCAATACTTTCTTTTGTTGTTTGTTTGTCTGTTTTTTGGTGGTAGTGGGGACTGAACTCATGACTTTGTGCTTGCCAGGCAAGCACTCATTCTATTGAGCTATCTCCCTGGCCCCCTTTGGGAAGTGTGTTTTCTGAACACCATGCTAGAGGAGATTTCCAGCTATATTAAACTGTAAGTTTCATCTCCATGCAAGATTTTGGGTTTTATCCCCATCTGGATCTCATTATTGGTCCAAATACTAACAATGAGCGAGTTTTTGGGTCCATTTTGAATCATGTAGGAAATTACATAATTTCTACCCCCAAAACTGTGAGTACAGAGAAGAATTTCTTTCTTTCTTATAAAAGGATTTTATTTGTCAACATACCATCCTTTCTGGGAAGCCAAAGTTCTACATTTAATAATGGGCATCTAAGACAATGAACTTTTATTAATGGCTCCTTTTGTGAACTTTATTGAACACATACTTTAATCATATGTCCTTCAAGGACACGTGTTGGAAAGCTAACTAGTCTCCCTCCGTGTATGCTGGGAGAAACATACACTTCCATCCTTTTGAATAACCTAAAAGACAAACAACAACAAAAGAAATACTTTAAACTCTTGTTAGCTGTTACTATGAGGCTGACTCTCAAAATCATCTACTTTGCCTTGACAAATGGATATTCACTTTTTAAGAATCTGGGAGATGAAATGACACTTTACTCATAACAAAAAAGACAGGACTGAATTGGGGAATTACCCAGAGAAGAGAGCAGGCCCTCCTCATAGAACCTAAAGGGTGAAATCGGAGCACAGGAAGCCCACAGTAGGAAGAACAGGGGCTGAAGCCCAAAACCATCGGTACTTCACTGTCTGCTTATTTCTCCCAGGAGCCTGATGACGCTGTAGGGCTGGAAAAACTGATTTCAGATTCAAAGACACACCAATAGCAAGTGGAAATAAGTAGTACCTATACCAGGAGACCCCCAAATGGTCTTAATGTATTTCTTTTTTTTTTTTCTTTTTTTGGCAGAACCAGGGATTAGAACTCAGGCCCTTGCTCTTACCAGGGAAGCACTTATTCCACTGAGTCATCTCCCTGCCTTAATGTATTTCATTATAAAATATTCATTTCTTTTATAAAATAAAAGACTTTAAGTCAACCTTGAGCTTATTTTTCTTTGATCTCTCTGACAAAAGAATGGGGTCAGAGGTATTTAATGCCAGGCACTTGAAGACTGTCAAGGATTGCTAGAGAATGGATGACATAGGGAATCTTATTGAGATCTAAGACGATAGGCCCAAGCTTTCAAAATAAGTGAACACTAATTGTTATGATAGACCAAGCACCTGTAATTTAAGAAAATCTAAAATATGAAACACATTCAAACACAAAACTTTCTGAGCACTGACATGATACTACAAATGGAAAATTCTGACCCCATGTAAAGGATCTCGATCAAAATGCAGACACACTAAAAAAATACTATATAATATGACTTTGGGTGATCTGTTAAAGGTATATAAGAAACATAAATGAATTCTGTATTTAGATTTGGATTGCATTATCAAACTATTTCAATATATTTGCAAGTATTCTGAAATTCAAATCATCATAAAACTGAAATACTTTTGATCCTAACTATTTTGGACAAGGGATATTCAACCTATATCACAATTTTAAAAACATTGTAATACAATATTAGTGCACCGTTAGAAATGGACTAAGATCTGTCAAAATGGTACATTTAGTCATTCAAATAGCACCACGTTAATACATCTCCAAAGTACTAAGTCCATAGAAAGACACTCGATGTTATTTCCATTGGGGGCATCATTTTTACTTTTCTTTGTCATATATAGGATGTACAGAAGTTATTCATTTAAAAGAATTACTAATATTAGCTTCCAAACAATCTAAAGTTTTAAATTCAGACAATAAAAGTGCAATTAGAGGCCAGACAGTGCCTGCCTGACAAGTGTGAGGTCTTGAGTTTGATTTCTGGTACGAAAGAAAAAAAGAACAAAAGAGCAAAAGAGTAAAAGAATGAAAGAGTGAAGAAGGAAGGAAGGAAGGAAGGAAGGAAGGAAGGAAGGAAGGAAGGAAGGAAGGAAGGAAAGAGAGAAATAAAGAAAAAGAGAAAAAGAAAAATAGCCAGGATGCTGAGAGAAGAACTAAAAATACTGTCCTAATAGTGGAAAAGTATGTTTGATAATGGATATTTTCCCTAATGTCATTGAATACCTCCTTTAGACGCTTCTGTGTGTAGAGAAGGAAAATAAATATGGATTTTATTTCAGAGGAAATTTTGGCTTCCTTCAATAAATAAGATTTCACAGGCTATCTTAAATAGTAATACCAATAATTAAGTTGCAAGATAGGACCTAATGGCTACAAACCATGGCCAAAGCAGGGCAGGGTGATTTACCAAGCAAACACATCATTTATGTTATTAAATACTTTTAGGTGGTACAAATGCCTTTAATGACACTCTACAGCATAACTACCAATGTTGCGACAGCTGAGCTTGTCTTACAGGCTGTACACTGGATAGTTCCATAACTGCCACAGAGTATTATCAAACTGGGACTAAATTTAAAACATCAGTATTGTCATTCTGTAATTTACACAAACCTATTTCTCAGAATTCACTTGTTAGGCCTTGTAGATACAATCCTCTAATAGCTACACTTTTAAACCTAAAAGCCCAATATCATCAGTTTAGGACAGTACCTGCTACTTTCAAATGAGTTCTGCTATCTTTCTAAGAAGAAACAAGGTTTCTTATGTAAAGAATTTTTAAAACTTTTCCATACTCCATACAATCAATAGCCATGGGCTAGTCTACTCATTGATTATGAAAATTATAAAACTGATCGCTATTTTTTAATTACACTTAAAATATAATATTCTTAAACATTCTCTAAAAATGTGTAATGATTTAGAAAAAGTAATGGTTTGGAGGAAATGACAAGAAAATATGATTACCTGAAAAGGGTAACTTCTTAGAAATCTTATTTTTTAAATCTGTATTCAGGTTGATGCACCCATGTCTTCAAATCATTCGCACACATCTAGAAAAGACATTTGAAATATTTTTTTAAGTGTATCAGTGTTCTGTACTTTTTGGTTGGTTGGTTACTTTTTATCACCCAAACATTTTGCAAAGTTAGAAGTAACGTCAGAACAAGAGTGCAAGGAGGACGGGCCAAATAGCTCAGCAGATTAAAGCACCAGGCACAGGGGTCTGGGGTTGGATCCCTGGGCTGGCCCGGCCTCCGGGGGCACACTGAGATGGCAATTGAGAGTGGGCATGGTGGTGCTCGCCTGTAATCCCAGCTCTTGGGAGGCTTCAAACAGGCGGATCACTACGAGTCCGATCCAAAGAAATATAAAAAACTAAAATAAAAGTATTTGTGAAAAAATACTGGGAGGCATTATGTTTACCTCATTTCCAGCAAAACGCATAATAAAAAGGTTCTGTAAATAAGTAACTTTCACATTTTTCCTGGAATTTCCCTGGCTACCAAGAAACTTTAAAAATGATTCTACCCAAAAAATAGTCAAATAGGAATGTGAAATCTCACAGCATGCTCAGATTTCATTGTTTTATACCAAACCACACACTTGTCAAAACTGATTAAGAGATAAACTATTAATAATTAAAAATGGTTATGATACAATCACCAAATAGAGCTGTGATTACCTAGCCTGATAAAGCATTTTTGAGAAACATTTTTTTTAATTTTTTGATTCCAAAATTATTCACAAGTCATTATTTCTCTCTTCTAATATGGTTGTTTAAAAGGAGCAGATATCAGATTGTGGGGGACTTGTGAGTCTGACTGCTTCCACTACGCCAGGATCCTTGGCCTCCATTCCAGCGTTCTTTCACTGGCTATGTTTCAGAGGCAGGATTTGCCTTTTCTTCATTGTTCTTTTACTAACAGAAGGCAAACTCACTGTGCAGCTGCTTGCAAAGGGGAGAAATGATTTGAGTTTTGTCCTGGACTTGAACACCAAACCCAGGATGATGTTGGCAGAACTGCACCTACAGAAAGATTGTCAGCCCTCACTCCCCCTTTTTTTTTAAAAAAAAAAGATAGGGGCCAGGGAGATGGCTCAGTGGAATAAGTGCTTCTTTGGCAAGTGCAAGGGCCTGAGTTCAATCCCCAGTTCCACGAGAAAAGAAAGAAAAGAAAAGATATACGCCCTGTACGAAATCTCAGTGGACTTCCTTTGTCCCAGACATCTCTGCAATTTGCCTGACAATTTTGGATGAAGGAAGACAGGGTGGAGAAATGAGGAAAAAAGAAACATAAAAGAGAAAGAAAAAGAAAGAAGAGAGATAGTCAGACAGAAGGAAACAGAGTGAAGACCAAGACAGAGAAAGAAGAAAGAAGAGAAAAGGACAAGAAAAAGAAAAGTCCTCAGCAAGCTTGTTGAAATCTCCCCTCGGGCAGTCACCCTGACACCCAACATCATGAAGTAAGGAAGACAGCTAGGTTTTGGCCCCCTTATGGCTTTTCTGTTTCCCTGATGTCATTTCTTTCACCCTCTGTAGCTTCTGTTATTTTTTTCCCCTGAAAAATCCAATTCTCTCAACAAAAGAGACGCATCCAGCAATTGCTTCTCCAGGGGTCATGTGCTACGCCATGCGTCGGCCTGCGATGCTGCCACAGGGCACCAGCGCACAGTACGAGACGGCTCTCCAGCGCAGCGCAGGACCAAAGCCAGTTAGTGGGCTTGAATTAATTCTTCTAACTCAGGAAACCTGGCCCTGGTGCAGGAGGGGAGCAAAGAGACCCGTAAAGCTGTGCCACGGTTTTCATGCTTGTTTCTAGCAATAGGAAGTTTAGAAATAGGTATTTGTAATCTTCTTATCACACACTCCCTGTACTTTAAAAAAAATGTATGAAAAATGACAAATGGAAACATGTGTAGTTTGACTAAGGAACAAAGACATGAAAAAAATGGCATGGTAGAATAGGGTATACTGGACAAAAACGGCATCCTCACACTGAGGCGTAGACTTACTATTTTTTTGTAATTAAAAAAATCTAATGATCACTTACCAGAGATGTAAAACAGAGATGAACAACTTAAGAGTGAGAAATGGCAGGCAAATCTGCTCTTGACACACTCGATGAAACAAAAGAGAGAGAGACGTCTTGGCAGTAACAAGTTGCTGCGTGTACAGCTGGCTCAGGGAGACTACTTTCACTTTGAAAAGGCCTAAGTTTCTCACAATTACAATTTTTCTTCCTACTTAAATTAAAACAATGCTAGCCTATAACTTCCATTGTGCCTATATTGTTAATGTTAAAGCAGGGAAGTAAAGTTAAAGAGAAAGGAGAAGAAGAAGAAGAAGAAGAAGATCCAAATTGTGATCAGGAAACATGAGAGATTTTTAAACCCTCAGATGTATGTCATTGCATTAATGTAAGTGAAATGCATGCTGCCCGAATGCTTGCAAAACAGCAGCCAACTTTGCCACTTTCTATGCAAAGCTGTGTTTTGCTTTTGAGAAAGCACACCACAATTAGATTAGAAAGTGGGGCGACAGGGAGGAAGGATGAAATCTCTTAGATCCTACAAGGAAAGAGCTGTGCAGTATGTAAAAAGCCAGCATTTCCTTAGAGCTTTAACAGTAAAACAATGGGATTCTCGTTCAGGGGAAGGTACAGAAGAGCCTGGAGCTTCCCCAGTGACACTCATGGGACAGAAGCAACCATCAAACCCAAGAAAGCAGGTTCCACAGAAGCAGAAAGCCCTTTTCCTCAGTACAGAGTATAGGTCCACTGAGAGGGACAGCCACGGACCTGCTGCATGCTGCACCCCAGCCATGGACCTGTTGTGCGCTACGCCCTGGGAGGCTCACCCTCTCACCAGGATGTTCCTACCTACTGATACCCACATTTCTCCCTTCTTTTGGAATAACAGCAGCCAACTAGAATAAAAATCTTTATACTTTCTGCCAAGTAAATGTTTGAAAAAGAAAAAGTATTAACCCATGTACTTACTTCTTGGTTTTAACTTGTAGAAAAATCAGTATTTTCTTTTGCTTTCCAGCCCTTTGCCCACCCCTAATAATCATTCCCCCATCCTACACACACACACACACACACACACACACACACACACAACTGCTGCTGGGTCCAATCTGGTGTCTGCTTAACAACAGCAGAACGACAAGCAACATCTGTTTGTAAAAGAGCCAAAAATCAAACCTTAACATTTTTGGCTAGGTTTCTTTTCTTTTTTTCCCCTGGCTCTAAAATAGGAGGAGCAAAAAGGAGAAATATTAAGGTTTATATTCAGCGTTGGCTCAGTGAGGCTGCTCCCCAGGGGTGTTGGAAGGTAAAGCACTTTTAGGGAAAACCACTGCAGTATTTAGGGTTCTCTGCACTGAAGCAGCCACATGAAATCTAACATATCAAATCTCCAGAAGTCAGTTTTTGTCCACTAGCCTTATACTCATCTTCTAATCAGAATTATGCAGGCATTTTTATTGGTAGATGAGAAGGATGATAGAAGTGAGAGGAAGCAAAAAGAAATAGCAAGGAGAAAGGGAGCTCTGTTGTTTCTCCCTTCTTTCCTGTCACCCAGGCACACACACGGGGACGTTTACACACACAGGAGCACCCACCACACACAGCGAAGCTGCAGCACAAATCCGCCCAGCTGTGGCCATCAGCAACGGGCTCTAGCATTCCCCCATGGAGATGTGGATTTTTGGAATGCTACCAACAGTCCACAAAGTCACAATGCAGAGGATCAGATCTACCTCCATGGAGGGGGTGGGGAGCTGATACTAGCAGGGAGAGAAAGCCTCACTCACCAAAAGCAGATTTTACCCCAGGAGAAAGGAAAACTAGTCTCTCATAGGGGCACTATGAGAGACTACTCCCCTTGTACTCAGGGTTTGGAAGAAACTCACACACATTAAGGAAAAAAATAAATTCAGACAAGTTGCTAAGGAGACTTGTGTAAACTCCAAGCACAGACATATTTCTTGGCCTTTCCCCCTGTGCTCCATCTTGTATTCTGATCACGCAGCTCTGCGGCAGCACTGCACCAACCTTCTGCATTGATCTTGGCCTTCACTGCAGACTGGCAGAGCTCACTGGTGGTGGATTTCATCATCTTTCAAAGTTAGCAAGTTAAAAGGGCATGTGTGCATGTGTGTTGTGCAGAAAGGGTAGGGGAATTTTAATTTGGAGTTTTTGAAATACAGGTGTTGAGCAAAAAAGAATATTTGCACTGCATATTTTGGGAGCAGTAGAGAAAAGGGTAGCTATCATGTCTAGCTCTGGAAATTTCTCCCTGCCTGTGGAGTCTGTCCTTTCTTTGTGCCCATAGACTTCCTCCATATGTTTAATAAAATCCTGCTCCCTGGCACATGTAAGCAGAGTCTGAATCTTTGCAGATGAGGATTCTTCAGAAAGCAGTGTATTTCACAAAGAGGAATTCTGTTCCCTGCTGCCTTCTTTAGGTCAGTGTCCCAGGAACTGGGGTTCTAAGAACAAAGATAGCACCTAAAACTCTTAATTCAAACCCTTTTGGATTCTAAGCCAGCTAACATTTCAGAGGAACGACTTCAGCCTTGTCTCCAATCTCTGGAGCAGAGAATATGTCCCATAGTGACGCATCTTCACTAGCAGCTGATATGTGTCAACATTTGATTTAGGAGAAAATTAACATTTTATTTTACGACAGAGATGTTTATATACTCAAAGCCAATATTTTCCCTTCTTAGCCCCTGTATTAGAATTTCTACAGATTTTCTCTAGGTCAGAGATAAAGTTGACCACCAGACCAAATCATTGTTCAGATGCTGGGGCAAATTAATTGTTCCAGTGTCTGGTCTGTGTGGATAATTATGGATACTTCTATATGTGTATATTTTTATGTGTTGATGCATGTATATTTTTATGTGTTGATGCATGTGTTTGTGTGTTCATGCATGTGTGTTTAAGTCTGGTTTTCTGCATATGTGTGCTATGTATACTTATGTTTGCTCTTGCGTGTGTCATGTATATTTGAATGTGTTTTCTATATGTATGTATATATT